GATAGATAGATAGATAGATAGATAGATAGATAGATAGATAGATAGATAGATAGATAGATGATATATAGATAATCATTAGAAAGAGAGAGACAGACAGACAGACCATCAGACAGATAGACAGAGCCAGCAGAATAAGAAGCAACGGATGGAAACTAACCAAGGAGAGAAGCAACCTAGAACGAAAGAGGAATTTCCTAACAGGGAGGACAATTCACCCGTGGAACGCCTTGCCTTCAGAAGTTGTGGGTGCTCCGTCATTGGAGGTTTTCAGAGACTGGAGGGTCCCCTGTCTGAAATGGCACAGGGGCTCCTGCTTGAGCAGGCAGTTGGACCAGAAGACCTCAAGGTCCCTTCCAGCTCTATTCTGATTGAGTGGAGATATTTCTCGCACTGTGTTTATCAAGGATGGCAGCTGCTCTCTGGAAGGGCAGTGGGTGCCCTGCTGCTTGTTGACAACCCTGAGGTCTTTCAGTTGTGCCCTGGGGCACCACCGTTGTTCCTTGATGCCACCGGTTCAACCTCTGCTCTTCCATCCTCTCTCTGAAGGTACGCCATGAGACTGAAGAACTTCACGGGGTCTTCTGCCACGGAAGGAGACAAGAAACTGGCTGTCCTCTGGTGAGACATTGCCTTCTTCCTCAATTGCCTTGTAATTAAAGCTGGTTAAAGCTTCCACTGAAGACCAGAATTGAGAGTCTTCTAACTTCTCTCTCTTCCCTCCTTGCCATTTCTTCCTCCCCTTTTCTTCCTTCCTTCCTTCTTCCTTTTTCCTTTCTTCCATTCCTTCTTCCTTCCTTCTCTTTCTTTCTTTTTCTTTCTTTCTTTCGCTATATTGTCTCTTGTCTCTTTATAAAAACTTGTAATAAAAATCATTTTAAAAATAGGCCAGTGCTCACACAGTATGGTTTTCCACTGTGGTTGGTGCCCACAGATCACATCCTTGGGAAATAACGTCAAGTTTGTGTTTGTGTGTGTTTCCAAATTACTATAGCTACCGCTGCTTATCCCTTCTCTATCTGAGAATGTTTAAACTGAAGAAGGATCACGCAATGAAGTATTCCAGATCCTTGATGGAATATTTTAAGGTAAATGACATTGAATTGCTTTTTTTATGCAGAAAGGGAAGGGGGGAGAAAGAGAGGGAGAGGAAGAGAGGAGAAAGAGAGAGGGACAGGGACAGAGGGGGAGAGGGAGAGGGAGGGAGAGAAGAAAGAGGGAGGGAGAGGGAGAAAGAGAGAGAGTGGAGAGAGAGGAGAGAGAAAGAGAGGAGAGAGAGGAGAGAGAGGGGGGACAGAAAGAGAAGAGACAGAGAACAAGAGAGAGAGAGGAGAAAAAGAGAGAGGAAGGGAGAGGGACACAGAGAGAGAGACAGAGACAGAGAGAAAGAGAGAGAGAAATTCCATGTTTTTGCAGCTGGAACACAACAGTTTGTGGCTGTGTTCAGCCATCAAAGGTTGTGAAGGATGCAACCTTGTCATTAAGGGTGTGGGAGGGGAAAGTGGTAGGAGAGAGTGTGGTGGATTCTCCTCCAGACATTCCTTCAAAGAAACCGTTCCCCAAAGTCAAATAAAGGATGACTAGTTTGGATACAGGATTTTTAATTTTTTTGCAAAATTACTTCCCCCCCCCCCAAAAAAAACCCTTACTTTAAGACCTCTGCCACAACGCTTGGCTCCAGAATTTTTATAAAGCGGATGTATGGTGTATTCAGTTTAATTGGCCATCCGTACAGGAAATGCCACCCTACCAGTGATTTTTCACGTGGCCACTTTTGCAAAAAACATAAAATAAATTCCCATGTCTCTGTGTTGTGTATGTAAATATATTGCCATAGATACCTAACACTGTGAAACATTAATGCTCAGGCTAAAGGGCTTTGAAAGGTAACACACTGCATTTCTGGGCTCCTGTAACACCACCTGTTGGATTTTTTAAAAATGAAAATGGTTCTTTGGTTTGCCACAGCCGTTTTATGCTTTCTTCCACTTCATTGGAGCCGAGGTGGCCCAGTGGTTAGGGTGCAGTACTGCAGGCCACTTCAGCTGACTGTTATCTGCAGTTCAGCGGTTCAAATCTCACCGGCTCAAGGTTGACTCAGCCTTCCATCCTTCCGAGGTGGGTGAAATGAGGACCCAGACTGTGGGGGCGATTTGCTGACTCAATTTGCTAAAAATCTGTAAACCGCTTAGAGAGGGCTGAAAGCCCTACGAAGCGGTATATAAGTCTAATTAATAAATAAAATAAAATAAATTGGCTCTCTCTTTCATTTTCTTTTAACAGAATTCATCCAAAGTTTCACAAGCCCCTTCTCCTTGGGGAGGCAAGTAAGTATCCCTCATTATTTTGGGGAATTGTAAAATGGGATATCGGGAAGAGGGAACATTTTTTGGCCCAATCAAGATCAGTTGTTAGATTAAAGTTAATGTTCCATGGGGAACATTAGAAAAAGCTTTCTACTTTGAAGAGCCATAGTGGTGCAGCGGTTAGAGTGCAGCATTGTAGGCGACTTCTGCTGACTGCCGGTTGCCTGCAATTTGGCAGTTCGAGTCTCACCAGGCTCAAGGTTGACTCAGCCTTCCGTCCCTCTGAATGGTAAAATGAGGACCCAGATCGTTGGCAGCGAGAGGCTGACTCTGTAAACTGATTAGAGAGGGCTGTAAAAGCACTGTAAAGTGGTATATAAGTCTAAGTGCTATTGCTATTTTCCTTCCTTCCTCCCTTCCCTTCCCTTCTCCATCCATCCATCCCAGCTGAAGGTTGACTCAGTCTCAACCTGGAGCCGGATATAAGTCTGAGTGCTATTGCTATTATATGGATTGATAGATCCCACATCCTCCTTCAACCAAACTGAAGACCATAAAGGAGATGGTTAGGAAGGGCCACACCATTCATTCCAGGAGGACAAAAAAAAACCTTACGATCAAAGCTGATGTCTGCCTCTTCCCACCAACGGTGATTTCTTCAATAATAAAAGCCAATAATTATTTCACAGATATAGCATAACCGCTGTTACTAAACTGGAAGCCTTATGGTGCTTAAAGAAGAAGATCTTCACCCTGTTTTTTTTGCTCTAATTCAGTGCAAAAGTAGCTGGTTTCAACCCTAAAGCTCGATTTTATTAACCACATACATATTTGGATCTTGCACACCCGGTGCGTGCCACTTGCACTTATTATCAGGCGGGGCTGCACACGTTGAGATCGCCCAAGCTGAACACAGCCTGTCTACCATGAATAACGCGCCACCAGGAGCGTCTGAGACCATAAAGAACAGGAGGTATTGTCACAACAGAGTCATCCATCATGCAGGGCAGATGCTGAGGTAGACAGCGAAGGGAGCCACGGTAGGGTAAGAAGGACCATTTGTTTTCCATCCTTGATGGCTTTCCCTTGAACTCTGGGCCAAGGATGCCTCTTGCGGGAAGCAGGTGAGTAGGAAGAAGCTTCTCCATCAGAACCCTTGAGATAACATGGATCTGGTTCAGAGCAATGTTGCCTGTTGGCCAAGGCGTTTCATCTCCCGAAGTGACCAACTCAACACTGACCAAAACTGGATGCCGTATTCCAAGTGAAGGCATATTGAAGTGGTGTTAACACTCCACGTGATCTCGAGTCTATCTTTCTATTCAGTGGGTAAATCAAATACCTCTGAAGTCTCATCCACATTATATGGATTTTTGGAATTTTGATCAGCTTCAAATGCAAATCTAAAAAGAAAATCAGTTACTGAAGTCGGGCTTGAATGTAAAATTCTGCTTAGGGGGCAGCCACACCATAGTACTCTAAGCTGGCAGGTGTTTTCCTAATTGTTGGTGTTAAAAGAAAATCCATGTGGGGGGATTACGGAGCACCAAGTAGATAACTTAAAAGACAACTTCATAGCTATCCGGGTGATTTGATGGCAAAGAATTTAAAAGCGCTAAGAATGCCGGCAGAAATATAGGATTAATGTTGTATGTGATGCCTTCTACCACCCACGAAGGGGGTTTAAGAACAGTTTATAGGGAAAGGGGCTAAGCTATTGAAGCAAATTGAATTTTTCTCCCTGTCAATTATTAGTCAATAATTCAGGCTGTTTCCTAAGAGGGATGAGAAGATCACAACATGTTCAGCATCCTTTGTTCTAGGATTATTCTATTGTTTCCCTGCTCTGCCCCAGGAAAGTTGTAATTCCAGCTCTTCCTTTACCAAAATCATTTTTTTTTAAATGATAATGTAGCTCCCCCCACTTCAATTCTATCATAGTCATAGGGCTGGAAGGGACCATGGAGGTCTTCTGGTTGAACCCCTACACAAAACCTCACAATAGTTCAGAGACGAGAAGAAGAG